GTGCACAGGAAGAATGCACGTGCTTTATTAAGCACAACATATCCCATCAGGCAGAGGTGAACCAAGCAGCCTTAACTCACACTTAAGTAAAAGTATTGTTCCTTTGGTGAAATAATGACTTCACTGCAAGTAAAAGAAGTCGAGCAAAAATAACTACAGTAGGACTGAATAAATATCACATACAAAAAAAACTTTTCAGGTATTGAGTTGTTTACAGAACTGCAGTCAACACATCAGAACTTCTCAACACATCCAGCATCAGTATAGGAGCTGAAGTTGGAAAGGGAAGATGTTACTGGGTAAACATGTAAATGTAACTGAGCAGCTGTAAGCAGTTACTACCCACCTCCACCATCAGAGTAACTAAAAGAATAACTAGTTAGTGCTATGTGAGAAATTTCTAAAATAATCACACATATTCTGTGATACAGAAATATCTTAAATCAAACAATAAGATGTGACTAAACCCTGGACACCTTCTGTAAATAAACTAATCAGTAAAACACGAAGAAAAGTCAGCCAAAGTTATATGCTAAAGGTATCTAAATTCTACCTGATCTCTTATCTGATATGGTCTAATATCCTACCTAACAAACTCATGTAAAATGCATTCAGAATGGACATATTCATGCAAAACCGTCATTTGATGAAATAAATGTCTTTGAATTCAAAAACGTAAAAGAACTTTAAAGACTGGATTTGCACTGATTTTGTTCAAGCAAAAGAATTCCCATGTCTGGAGTTTTTCATGAAAGTAACAGATTTAAACATATTAGATTAAAACAAATGTTTTTAATACATACATAAGCTTTTTACATTTTTAACACAACTATTTTACTATTTGTTCAGTTTAAGAAGTAGCTTTAGTATTTCATTACGCTTGCTATTTGTTGGGTTGCTGTAGAGTGTTTCATAAAGTATAATGACAAATCTGAACTCTTCTGAACAGGATTTATAATCCAGCAGAAGTGAAAAGCCACTGAATAACGGCAAACAGTACCCTCTTGTGGACAAAACGTAGAATTACAATGTGAATGATCTAAATAAGAGCACGGAGTTTCATAATTATCTATTAGCTTGTTTATCTCCATTGTCTTCTTTTGGTAACTGTGATAAGCAGTTATATTAATTGCCCCAATAATAAAGTGATCTACTGATTGATACTGGGGAAAATGATAAATGAAAGCCTTAAAAGGTTACTTAAAGAAAACAGTGAACTTAAGAAAACATATGGCCTCATTCTGCAACTCTCTTTAAAACCCACTAATGCAGTTTTCACAAAGGTTCTGTCATCCACCAATGTCTTCTTATTTGGCATTTGTTCTTAGGATAGAACAGAATCTACACACACTCAACAGAACAAAGGTGAGAACAATTCTGTGGTTTAAGAACGCGTCATGAATCTGATGTAGACTTTTTCTTAGGATCCTTCTCAAGAACAAATTTAAGAAAAACTTAAAAAGAAAGATACTGGTGAATGAGGCCCATAGCTGTTGTGCCTGGTTAAATACCTGTGTAGGTGATGTCAATAAATAATTGTTAAGGATAATCATAAATATCTGCTTTGACTTGTTCATCTTGGAGGTCTTCATTTTCTGACTTTGATGAGCAGCTACATTAATGGCAACTATTGTAAATCTACTGGTTGATACTGGGGACACTGGTGGTAAAGCATGCTTTTTTTCTTTTTCTGTCTTTTTATTTTTTTTATGAATATAGTTTTTCCATTGGCTAAACACTTAAACCAATCAGATTCACCATTCTCTCTGATTGGATGCTGAGAGACCGTCAATCATGTTTTGAAGTCGCCATTAGGGAGGAGCCACAACCTAACACAAAATTTCCTGGTCAGTTCTAACAGAGAGTGCTGAGAGAAGGAGCTCTGCACTGACAGCCAACCAGACACCTCAGTGTGTTGCAAACTGTGATGAACAGTTATATTAATTTACATAATTTTGAAGTGGTCAGTCAGTTAAAACTATAGGGAAACTGATTATTATTTATTATTATTATTATTATTATTATTATTATTATTATTATTATTACTTATGTATTTGATAGTTTTGCAATTGCAAATACAAAATACAACATATAGTCCTTGATGACCTACATGTTTATTTTGTACAGTTTATTCAGTTTAATATTAACCAGAATAATAAAAATAACATGGAATACAAATAGAAAGCATAAATATTGATTTGATTTTTTTTTAAATAAAATTAAACAGATTAAGAATCAGAAAAGCCAAGTGCTCATCATAATTCAATATTCACATAATACAATATTCAATAAGCATCATTAAAAAACAAATATATACATAAAAACAATGATAATTATATATATATATATATATATATATATATATGTATGTGTATATATATATATATATATATATATACACACACACACACACACATATATATATATACACACACACACACACACACACACACACACAATATTTTAAATATAATATAAAAAAAAAGGATGTCACCTGCCCACATTGCCATTAAGTGAGCTGAGAATCACTGACTGGAAATCTACTTTTTGTTTAGTGTCTTGTTTAATATAAATTTCTCAGTGAAAGGAAATGCATTAGTTATCTTGTGAAGAACCAGACAAATTCAAGGGGCTTATTTGAAACTGAACAACTGATTCCCCTCTAGTGGTCACCTGGTAATACTGCCAGCTACAGTTTGTTGCGGTCTGTTGAGTCTCAGTGCTCTGAGAGCTCTTCAAATGGACAGATTCCAAATAGTAGACAACATGAGAGATTTATGGATCCAGAGTGGCTACTGAGACAAAGTTCTCCAAACGATGGAACGTCCTTAAGATGAATGTTGTTCTGCAGAGTTCTGGGCACTTACGCAATCTGTGTCACAAGAAATAAAATTACTGGACGTTCTGGTAACAGTGATGGAAAGTATTGTCTCTGTGACCACCCTGGTTTCTCCCTGAGCTGAGATGTGGAGTTAGAAGGTGAAGAGGTGCAGATCGTATCAATTCCACACCCCACACATAATCCAGTCACTACGCATGTCCTGTGGACAGGGAAACTGTATATTATCTTTATTATACATACATACATACACCGCTTATCCTTCTGGGTTGCGGCGGGGTGCTGGAGCCTATCCCAGCTGTCATTGGGTGGAAGGCAGGATACACCCTGGACAGGTCGCCAATCGCAGGGCAGACAGACAGACATACACACTCACACCTAGGGGCAATTCAGCATATCCAATTGGTCTGACTGCATGTCTTTGGACTGTGGGAGGAAACCGGAGTACCCGGAGGAAACCCACGCAGACACAGGGAGAACATCCACACAGAAACGACCCTGGTCGCCCGGCCGGGAAACGAACCCAGGCCATTCTCGCTGTGAGGCAACAGCGCTACCCACTGTGCCACCGGGCTGCCCATCTTTATTATATATTACAGAAATTCTAATACATTATTAATTAATCAGTTTCTTAACTCAGAAACCTGCATTCTTGTTCAGTCACCTATTTGTCACTGACTCACTGCTATGATCACTAACTTAATATTTATATACTTGATATTTCTATTCTACTTTTTATTTTCAGGTTTTAAAGCTCTAGCTTATTCTTGACCATATTTATCTTTTTATATTATATTGCTGGCCTTTTTTAAATATTCTACATTTCTTGTGCTTTTTATTATTGTTAATCATTGAAATGTATCTCTTGATTGTAAAACACTGAGTGCTCAATAAGGTGTACTATTATAAAAACTCTATTTAGGTTGATGATTGAAGATGACTGAATTCTTTACTGCATGGTGTTGCCATATGGCAGCATTTACTTACTGTTCATTTTTTTGCCTGACAACAATGTAAAAGGTTTTTTTTTCCTTTTCCTTTGGAATACAGAAGGCTCCATGTACACTACAGTAAAGTTTTTTTTTTTCTGATCACATGCCTTCCTTTTTCCCCCTCACACATTACATGGTGAAGCCTGGGTTATGAAGTGCTCTCAAAGTTAGCATGCAATTCAATATTTGAACAGAACTACCTTAAGAAAATAAAAACATTAAAAAAAAATCTGTGGGACTTTGTGGGAATGAAAACAATTTACATGATTTTTATATAAAACAATAAAATATAATTGTTGCCATATGGCAACAGCAGTGGTATAAACTACTATGCAAACAGTGGGAGATATTTTCTACCCTTCTGATAATTAGTGCCTTATTATGAATGACAAAAAATTGTTATGTTGAAAATAAGTTCACATCCTTCATAAAGAACAAACTTTTTTGAATGAGTTTTGTTTAACCCCAATACTGTAAATATTATAATATTTATAGTATTTTAAAAAAAAATACAAATAAATATATAAATAAAATCATGCTAAAATGGTTCTTTGCATGGCAAAAACAAACTTCAGATTGAGAAGAACCTTTAAAATATATATATATATATATATATATATATATATATACACACACACACACACACTCCATCAATCGGAAGAACGTTTGCACCATGCAGAACCATTTTAGCATGAAACGGTTCTATATAGAACTCATGGTTCTAAACAGAATCATTGCCTTTAATAAAGAACCCTTGGAGAACCATATTCTTTACGTGTTTAGGCTACAGTGAGTAACTGGACCTAACATGAATCGTTAATGCGGTCTTTCAGACAGATCAGTTAACTCGGTCTGTGTTGTGTTAAGCTCTCCTGCCGCTTTAAGGCCCCCCGCCTCCCCCCGCACTTCCGCCGCCGCCTCTCCCAATCGGCCATTTTTAATTTCACTCATTCATGAAAAGTTATGTAAACACAACAAAAGCCGTTAAAGCCATGGTGGCGGTGCCGATACAGAAGCGGACACACTGCGAGTGCTGAGAGCACAGAGGCAGACAGCTTTACCTGCTGGAGCGGTCACTCTCTCTTTAAGGTCGACCTCAGCTGCTCTGGGAATAAAAGAGAGAAAGCCTGCTGTGAAATAAAAGAGTGGCGGCAGTCAGGTGGGCTAGCAAGTAACGTTAGCTCCCAAATGCGTCTTCTTTACCATTAGCCGTGCCCTTCGTTTACCCTCTGTCACAGAAATCAGCCCTGAAACCGTTCAGAGGCTCGTATCGCACTCTGCGCTGTCAGTGTAATTACCTCAGGGGTTGTGTTTGAGATGAAGCTGAAGTTAGCTTCTTAGACTATTTTCCGTTCCACCTTAAGTGGTGCAGCAGTTGTACTCTGTCGCTTGCCAAGGCTCTCGCTCGCAGCTAATAAATGGTGGAAGCGCACTGTCTGCTGATGTTTTCTATTGTGACCGCGTTGCTGTTGCTGTCTAACTTTTGACTAGAGGGTATTTCACAAAGCTGGATAAGTCAAGACATGAGTGAGGACTACGTTACAGGACTGTAGTTGTAGTGGTCCTGGTCCTGGAGATCTGCCACCTCCAGCCCTAATCAAAAACACCTGATCCAGGTAACAAAGCCCTTCAGGGGCATCTGAATATTAGACCAGGTGTGTTGAATCTTCGCTCTCCAGGGTGGTAGATCCCCAAGGCTCCCCTGCTAGAGGAACACGCCTTACATTTCCTGGATTTACTTACATTTAACTTTGGATTTAAGTGATCCAGTTAATTGACAAAGCCCTACTGCTGCTTTGTGTGCGAGAAAGTGGGATAACAGAACTTTTTAGAGCAGAAAAATCTAATAAACATAATCAACTATCAACCAAGACACCTTTGGCACATACAGTTTAATTTCTTATTTTAACAGTGGAGCCAAAAGATGATATAATAGAAGTCTGTACCACTCAAAATTGTTCTGAGTGACAGACCTCCATTAGTTTATAGCTACATTGCCCAGCCTCATAGCTCCAGTGTAAAACTAAAAGCAAACTATGTTTGGTATAAGGGAAAATTTCAAGTTTCTTCATTTCTTTAAGCATGCTGTGACACACTTTTACAGTAATGTTTACAAGTTTGGAGCATGGGAGTCTCCAGTATTTAAGCTCACTGTTGTTATGCATAGGCATCGTTCTTGTTTTACGCAAACACAGTCTAACCCAGCCTCACGTGGTGATGAAGGAAGTTCCTGGTGTTGCAATCTGTACATTTTGAGACTAGGAAATTCCAGACTTTTTGACTGTACAAAACAGGATCTTCAATTTATGTCTTAAAGTATAGCCTTGAAATTCAAACAGACACAAGTCAAAATACAATACTGTTGAAAATGTGGCTTGACACCTTACATATAATCAGATTTTGAAATACCTCTTGACATGTGTTTCAGGAAAATATGAGGAAAAAACAGAATGTGAAAAACAGGAAGGCGGAGGAGACAACAGTTGTTCAGGAGTTTGCTGTGGAAAAAATTATCCGGAGAAGAGTCAATGATGGAAAAGTGGAGTACTATCTGAAGTGGAAAGGCTTCACTGAGTGAGTGTCAAGGAATATTTGACAGTGTGGCTATTTACACCCATGTCTTTTTTCCAGTATATAAATCTTTTAGGCTCCTGGCAGGACTTTAGAGTTTAAATTGACTGGATCTGTCAGGCCCTGGTCAGGTGATTTAGAAACGGCTGTACTGTCTCTGATTTGTATATGAAATATGTGAACTGAACGTTCTTGCTCAGTAAAGAATAAATTCTGCAGTCCAAGATGCGTATTTATAAAGGGTCTCTCTGTAACTGTGCTGGTCCAGCCTGACATTTTTTTCCCTTTTTCTGTTGATTGCTGTTCAGGTCAACAACGTTAAATCAGGCTGGTGTCATTTGCGGTTCGCACAAGGCTGAAGGTATAATGCAAATAATGACGTTGGTTCTACTACTACTTTTGTTTTCTCAGTGCTGAAAACACCTGGGAGCCAGAAGATAATCTGGACTGCCCTGAGCTGATTGAGGAGTTTCTCAGAAACATGGCTGTTTCAGGCGAGAGAGAGGACAGCAACTCTCTAGAGCCTGTTATCCAACCCAAAGAAGAGCTAACTGAGCTGGATGCTGACACAGTAAGTGTCTATGCCTGTGTTTGGTCACATTAGACCAAGTAATGAACTTTGGTAAATAAAAATGCCGTCTCTGTGCTTAACTTTCCTCTGTTATGTTGAGCAACATGAGGCTGAAACATACACACCGTAACTTCAAGGGATGATAATGGGGATGATAACATGGTTTAATAACATACTAATTAATTATATTATTCAAAATATATATGAAACACAATGAAAGTTTTTCCATTTCAAAGTTATATAATTCTGATAACTGTGTTGTATTAGCTTTAAAAAAAAAGACAGTAGAAGTAACTACTGCTGCATTGTTGGGGTGGTCACTCAAAAAAGGAATCCATTACAAGTCACTAAGTATTTCTCTCAGAATGGAATCTGATTACTTTTTTCAGGAAGTACTAAGTAATGTAATCTCAATACTTTAGTTCTGCTTTACTCTGTGAAACCCACTTGTACCAGCTGTGCAAGGGAAAAACCATGCAGTCCTTTTAAGCAGGCACTTCAGAAAGAAATAATAAATTACAGTCATCATCATTTACATGTCAGTATCAATGCTTTTTAACAAGTTGCATTGTTATGGCTGGTGGTCTTAGTTTTTTTCATAGAAACTAATCAGAACAAACTAAACAGTAGAAAAGCAGCTCCTTACAAATAAAATCTTTATGAATGTGGTGTATAGCTTACAGAGCTGTTTCTGAAGGAAAATCCAATCTGGCCTGTTTAGGTGCAGTTGGGTCTTTTCTTCATTACAGGGATCTTTATCCTTCAACAGATTGTTTATGGGCTTCCTGCGCTCACGCTGTGTCCCCTATATACACAGTCAGAGTCAAGGAGTTAGCAAATGCAGGCAGTGCACATATATGCAAATTACATACAAGCAAAGGAACAGGTAACATATCTAGAGGTAATCTATGATTTAAAAGCATTTCACATAATTTTTGTTTTCTTAAAGACACAAGTAAGGGAGTTCTTATTGATTGGGTAACTGAAACTGGATTAAAAAAATTTAATCTGTAGTGCCTCTTAGTACTTTATTGTAGAAAAAAGTAATCACATTACTGTAATTACATTACTTTGTACCACATTACCCCCAACACTGTACTGGTGAAATTATTTCATTATCCAATAATGATTCTTAAACATTTACAATATTTTTTAACACAACTGAAACAATAATAATAAATCAACTGATATCCTCATATGAAATTTTTATCTCATTCCTAATCAGACAATACTCTGTCAGGCCCATCTATTCAAGAATTTGGTGTAAACCTCAGCATGTTTATTAACACTGCTATATTTTTGCTTGTGACTGGCAGGCTCATCAGCAGCAGTGTCAGAGTAAACAGATAGAGAGTGAGACTGGCAAACCAGGTGATCATGACACGGCGACTGCCAATGACCAGTCCACTTCCCCAGAGCCAGAGCGCATCATCGGCTCTACTGACCGACATGGAGAGCTCATGTTTCTCATCAAATGGCACTGTGTTTCTATTATGTTTTTTTCTGGCATTGTTTGTAGTCTGATTGTAAGCTGATTCGCTTTTAACCTTTATGGTAGTATTACCTCCACACTAATGCCTTCTCTTAAATGACTGTGGCTTTGCAGGAAAGACACAGACGATGTGGCCCTGCTGTCAGCCAGGGAGGCCAGTGCAAGATGGCCCCAGATGGTTATTGGTTTCTATGAGGATAAGCTGACGTGGCATGGAGAAGAGGAACAGTAAAAATGAAAGTGGATAATACCTCGTGCTAGCTTTTAACATTTCCCCTCATTCACACTTAAGATGCGTTTTACTGTGTGACTTACCATGTTGTGAAAGTGTGTGAATCCCTACACCACTGTGAAACTTGTCTTAGCACACTGAACTCGTAGAAGTACTGAATTCTTTGTAGAGATGCACTGTAAGTCATTGTTTTGCAAACCAGTTGATATAGATTATAGATATCAACAGGTTAAACAATACTGTATTTTAGCTGTAGGACTGCTGTTTAGAAAAGTATGTCATGTAATCAGTTTAATGTGTATGAAATTTGACTGCACTTGAAAAGACTAAGGGGAGCACAGCATGTGCATACTGAATACTGGTGATAAATGGTACATGAGGACTAGTGACTCATATTGTCTGTCTCTGTGATCTCCCGGTTTTAGCACATATTATACTGTGATTAAGACCAATAATCTGTGAGGTTAGAGCTGTAGTTTTCTTCATTTGCACATACAAATGAAAATGTAGCCTTTCAAAACCAGTTTTTCATGAAAAGTTCCAATAATATGTTGTGCATAATGTTTTATTCCATCTTGAGAAGGGCGTTTATGTGTTGCTGTCAAGATGACAAAGGGTTTTTAGTCTGTTTTTCTTTCATGTTCTCATGGTAGCCCATGAGTGGGCAACTCCAGGTGCTTTAATAAATGTCAGATTACCTCAAAATATCATCTCATTCCTTTCACTCAATTACTTTTGCACAATTTCACTGAATATGTGTATGTCAGTTTAGATATGTTGCTGTATCACATCAAGAAATGAGTTAGTGTCATCACCTGAATGTACCGTAAAAGTGGGTTCTCTGAAGCTTTATAGCTTTATGATATTAATGATGGGAGTCATAAAAGTGCCCCAGTTTTTTACACATTTCTTTATAATCTGCATTAATCTTAAACTTAAGTAACGACTGGTAAAAGCTCAAGCACAGTTGACAGTCGGAGCCCCAAAATGAGAAGTGTTTCTCCATAAACGGAAACTCCAGTGAGACAGCCCAAACGAGCCCACAGTTGCTATTAAACTTCCCTATAACTTGACAACTTCTCATTTTCCCAGTCAGACATCCTGATCTATTCTCCATAATAGCTACATAACGCTGTTGCTCCTTTTCACTCTATAGTTCTATGCAGGAGTTTATCAGTGTTTGGGTGCGGGATCCTCGCATTCAAAAAGAGGACTTCTGGCATGCCTATATGGATTATGAAATCTGCGTACATGTAAGTGTACTTTCCATATGAGATTGCAATTGCTATTCAGGGTTGGAATTAACACAAACACAACTGCTTGCTAGTGGAATTACAGAATTTGTATGACTCTCACTCTTCTCCTAGACAAACAGTTTGGCCTTCACTAAGAAGAGCTCTTGCGTGCGGAGGAGATACAGTGAGTTTGTGTGGCTGAGGCAGAAGCTGCAGGATAATGCCCTGCTCTTGTATGTACGCACAGAATGACCCTTTACAAAATGAAATGTATTGCTACATGTTGCCGGTATATTCCAAATACTAAGAAAATACATTGTAATATATTTTCAGTATATTATTTTAAAATAGGAGGTGCCCTTGATTTGGGCTCTCGCAACACTAATGAGATGTTTGTGAAAAAATGTGGCGGTATTCACTGTGAAGCACTATTCACATGTATTTACCTTGTGATTTGCTCATTTACTTTTACCGAGCCATTTATTGGTGATTTACATCCAAGATGCTTGCAGAAACATGTATTTTCTACCTTCTGATATTGCCATGAGATAGTAGTTATGTCATTATTAAAAATACTGCCTGACATAGCTGTCTGTCCTATTGACTTAGCAGTATAAAACTCTTGTATGTCAAAACAGTATTTCACAATCTGCTATACTACCACCATGGAATACACATCTGATTTACTCTATATATGGTTGCATATGACATGGATAACATGGTAAATGTAAACCATGCTGTTATGTTAACTGTTGGACTGTGGTGTGTCCTTCAGAGTGCATTTACCTGAGCTTCCCCCAAAGAACCCCTTCTTCAGCCTGAACAATGCCAGACAGATTTCCGCCCGCATGGAGGGACTGAGGCACTTCCTGGAAGAGTAAGTGTCTGAGAAAAGCATACAGCATAGGGACTTTGAAGACTGTTAAATACCGAACTGTGCCAGCGCCTGGTGTTGGTATGATGTAGCTTGAGGTTTTTCCCCATGGAGCTTGATTTTCTTTGACATTTGAGAGAAATCAAGCACACTTTGGGAGCTTGATTTAACAGTATGGCTGTCTACCATGTCCTTGCACTGTTGTTAGGGTCCCATTTTCTCTATATCTATTAATAATTTTTTAACGCTAGTTTTGTAAACTCCTGTTGTTCCTTTGACTTTCCCCTCTTTTAATACCATGATTAAAATTTAAAGAACCATCCATTCCACAGTTATTTAGGGAGCCAAACACAATTCTTCTGTGGCATCACTAGGAACCCTGTTTGGTATCTATATTTTGGCACCTATATTTTTGTAAGACTTTCCTAACATTCTAATGGGCTTCATTGTATAGAGCTGGCAATCAGTTACGGATTTTGAACCAACTACAACTCAATCATAGTAACTTTCATTCCTGTGTGTGGTCTGCAGGATTGTGCGCAGTCCAGTGCTGCTGTCTGACAGTTGCCTGCACCTGTTTCTTCAGTCTCAGCTGAGCGTGAGGAAGATCGAGGCATGTGCTGAGGGCAGAAGCCGATACACCGTCGCTCAGGCCATTCAGAACTCTGGCTCCCGGGCCCAACGTTTTGGCTCTGATGAAAACATACAAGAGGAGGGAGAGACTGACTCAGAGTGACTGGGTTTATTTCACATTCATTCTGGGCCATAGCTTTTAAATATACTCTGACTCAAAGCTCATAGTAGCACATTCAATCATACTGCAATGTATGTGCCACAGCTGCTTGAGTTCAGGCCAAATGTGAAGAAAGCAAGAATGTACATGCAGGAAATGAATGATAAATGATAGTTTTTAAATTGTGTGTTCATTTCCAGAGCTGCTTCTCCTCTTTCCTACTCTTTTTTGACCTAATGTCTAGATGTATCAACATAACACATAATGTAATTACTTATTACATAGGCTTAAAAGGCTGAGTTTATGTAAGAATATCCAGAACGCAGTCTCACTCAGAACCACAGATGGGCCCTGAGAGGTTTATTGGAAGTAATTTACAGACTATGCTTGCAAATTATGTCCCTAAACTATAATGTGCTGAACTAAGTGAGGCGTCTGAGAACTGAAATCTAATTCCTTTTTTCAGATCATGTGTTTACTTTTTGTAAGCTCAAAGATCATAACCTAGATGTCTAAAATGCAATTTTTCCATTGTTAAAGTTAATGATTGTTTAAGATGATGTACATTTTTGGCCAGCAGATGGCACTTCTGCTATGCTTGTTTCTGTACGGCCAGCCCACTGATCTTCAGTCCTTTGTTTCTGTTCAGTTTGGACAAGCACCGGACATGTTATGTTATGTTGATGTGAGTGTAAGTGTTTTACATGTGGAATTTTCTGACATGAAGTTTTAGAATAGATAAAAAAAAAAATCTTGTGTCTTGTCTTTGTGACATAAAGTTTGGTGGTTTTGTAAATGTTCAGAAGCCAAATGATACACAAAATAGACAATTAAAAAATAATACTCCACATCCATAGCATATGGTTGATTACTATAGACATTTAATTCTACATATTTCCCTGTACTTAGAAAAGAACGGAAACCTATTGACCTATTGAGTTGCGTAAACATCTGCCTATTGACTTCCATTATAAGAGCGCTTTTGAAAATGCTGTACCATTCCTTTAAAGTCAAACCCAGTCCTGTTTCTCTTTTCTTTTATTCCCCTCTCTTGTAAGCAGACTCAGTTTGAGAGAAGTGGCCCTTGTCTTAACTGTCTTGTCCTGCACTGTCCTACTCTGATAAAGGCTTGTATGTTCAGGTTTGCCCAACAGGTTGAGATGACTTCCTAATCTCCTGTCTCCCTGAGCATCTTTCCCGCTCCCAGTCGCTCCACTAAGGTGTCACCGCCCGCTGCTGCCTCTCTAACGATGGAGAGTGTCGTAATAGGGTCCCCATGCAGTCAGTTGCTTCTTAGCAAAACTGGCAGCTCTGAGACCCAGCAGCTCCCAGTGGAGTACCACAGACACACACACACACACACACACACACACACCTAGGTACAGCTGTGTATGTCTGTGGATTGTGTGAAAGCTGTGAGATTTATGTGAGCTGTATGTTTGTTTTTTTTTACATTTTGAGGACAAAAATGTCTAACAAAAACGGTTACTGTAATTACGGTTAGGGTTAGATTTAGGCTTTAAAAAAAAACATTCAAAGCAACTAAATATAGTATTTTTTTTTTTTCAGCATTTTGTGTGTCCACTCTTTATTACAGCTTCTGTTCATTTTGGGGAACTTGCTTTCAGTTTTTAAGGAAATCTACAGGAATATTTTTCTACACTTCCAAATTTCAGTCTTAGAAGTTGGTTGTATTTTCTTCTTTTCACAATCCACATAATCTCAAACATATTCAATGATGTTGACGTCTGGATTCTGGGGTGGTCAGTCCATTGTTCTGAGAACATCTTTGTTTAATCTACAAATGTTCTTCTTTTCGGTCTATTTATTTTTCTCAGTAACAGCTTCTTGACAGCTCCACATCCTTTTAGACCCCTACTGTTTAGTTGTCTTCTCACAGTGGAAGGATGGAAAGAAACACGTGATTTTTTTCTCCTCGCTTGATTTTCTCCTCACTCAAAGATAAAAACTTAATGTATGTTTATTTGATGGTGACAGTTTTGGTGGTCTACCAGGTCTTGCACGGCTGTTAGGAGTCCTAGTTAATCTATATCTTTTTGATCGCTTTTTCTTTTGATTCTCCTCTTCCTTATGCAAGTAGACTTCTTATCTTACATCTAACCTCTTCAGAAAGATCACCTAAAAAAATCGGTAACTTGAGCTTAATGGCCATTTTCACTGGAAACTGAATAAATGAAGGACGGTCTCTGACTTCTGCACAGTACCGTAGTTCACTGTGTTGGGAAATAAAATGTCAAAACTGTTTTTTTTTAACAGACATTTTCAACACTAGTTTCCTTTTTGGCAAGGTATTCCTTTAAATGTGTCTGGCATGTTTCAGATCATTATTGTTTGAGGAGTTTTTTTCAGACTTCTGCAGGTTTGCTTCCAAAATTCTTTGTACACTTCTGAGTTCATGATCCCATTAATGAACACAAGCTCACAGATGCCACTGGAAGAAAAAACAGCCATTGAACAGTCACTGAAGTTTCCACCTCTGTGTTTTACAGTACTCAGTGCAGTATGGTTAAAATTCTTCTGCAGGCTTTCTCCACACAGACAGTCAACCATCAGTTTGATCTTGTGCTAAAAGTGTATTTAATTCTAAAACAAAAATCAGTTTGTGAATCATATTATGGTGGAACCTAAAGACCTTCATTACAGTTTACCAATGGTTAACTAGTTACTGTTCAAATGCTTCGCAGGCCACTATATTCTTCATCTTGGTATTGTACAAAAACAAATGTGTGTGTGTGTGAGAGAGAGAGCGTGTCAGACAGTTGAGCAGCTCTAGCGGCAGTGTGAGTGGTCTGCCACACTGACAGGCCTGCTCCCAGTGCGGTTACGGTGTGTGTTGGTTAATGTCATTAAGCTGTCATTCTGTCCACCTACCAGGCTGACACAGCCGGCCCCTCCACCGACTCCTTCACGAGCTGAATTAGTCATTCTGCAGCCCAGTCAGAGCAGGTGACATTTGAGTCATGCTGCAACATCCACGGCATTCGTTTTTCCCGAGTTCCCTCCACTGTTCAGCACAGTTACAACTCATACTGACGAAAGGACAGAAAAACAAGAAAGTGAGATGTTTAGTTGCATAAGTTGAGACTCCTCACACTGCAAGATACTGGGAAGGTGATTCATTCTCTTGTTTTTCACCACTCTCTTTATTGGATTACATCAAAACACTAACAAACTCCAGCTTGTTCTGACAGCTGAAAAATGAAAAATCTACAAAGAGAAAATTCACTTTTTTTTTTTGTTTGTTTTTATTTTTTTGATTTAACTCTCTCAGTGATTTAGGCCCTTCAAAGACATCCAAGAACATCACAAAAAAGTCCAGTGAAATATCAAAAAGTGAGGAAGTAAACATTTTTTAGGACCCGCATTTGAAACTTATGACACTCACTTGGCCAGTTACAAAAATTAGCAAAATTCTCCTGTTTTCAATCTGCTGTGCTCCACTACAATGATTCTCAATCTTATTACTAGAAAATGTCTGCTCTGTTTATTTGAATGTTTTTCCCGCTTCAACGCACCTCATTCAACTCATCAGCTAATTAACAAGACCTTCTTGATTTGAAGTTGGTGTGTTAGAGCTGAGAAACACTGATATATGCAGAGCAGGCAACTTCCAGGACCAGGATTGAGTGCTGCGGTAGTAGAGCAAAACAAATTGAAAACAGGGAAACTTGCCTGATTAGAATCATAATCAGCTATTTACCTTTTTTGTTACACTTTTCATTCCACTAGATTAAATACATACAAGCATTTTCATTTCTTTAATTTCCAGTCAAAACAGTCTTTTAAGTACAAGTTATTTATTTTCAACACCAGGAAAAAGCAGAAAACATATTTAAAAGAAAATTAACCAGAAGCCTCAATGACTATGAGATATTTTTTTCAGTATCTAGTGTGCCACCCTTTGACTTTATTATCTCTTGTAAAGTTCAGTCTCAATGGCTTCTTGACAGCTACACATCCTATCAGACTCATAACGTTCAGTTGTCTTCTCACAGTGGAAGAATGGACAGATTTTTTCAGATTTGGGCTTGATTTTCTCCTCTCTCTCGAAGATTAAGTGCTGTTTATCTAATGGTAACAGTTTTAATGGTCTATCAGTTTTTGAACAGTTGCTGAGACTCCCATTTTCTCTATTTATCTTAATAATTTTTTGAACTCAAGTTTTGGAAACTCCTGAGTTTTCACTTATTTTCCTTTGACTTGCTTTTGACCCTTCATGCAAGTGGATTATTTTATCTTCTCGGAAATATCTCCTTTAGCCATTTTAGATGCCTGTGAGAAAGAAACATATATGGCATCTAAGGTGTGTTTGGGTTGTTTATGAGAATGTTAGTGTCTTCTTCCTCTTTGAAGGGGAACACATTGTAGGTGACACCTTTGGGAACAGCTTTTACTGGGAGGACACAGCTGTTGGTTTTAAGATTGGAAGGATGAAAAATTTTAATCTGCTTTGTGATAATGAATTGAGCTGAATTGCACAATTAGTAGTGAACTAATAGTGTTATTGCTATTGTCCATTAAAGATGTTAACTTATTGTCAAAAAATAGCATTAAGCAGTTGGATGTAATAAATTCTTTGTTTTACTCTTAGGTCCTGCACTGCCAATGAAGCTCTGTATATGGGTGTGGGTGGTAGCAGAGACTACACTGTGTAATGTCACATGCCACAAGCTTTAACACGTCTGACACATTGGCTACATTAATTAGATTATTGTGTCGTCCTGAGGTGATGGTGATATTCATTATAAATTCATAATGAGGAGAAATAAAGGGCTCCTCGCTCCGTGACGGACAGGTAAAGGCACTTCTGGCCCTCCTCTGCTCACTATGGACTAGCAGGGCAGGGGCGAGCGCACCAAATTGGAAATAGGAGGATTCTCTACTGAAGCTGTCTTATTAATCCTCTCAGGGTCTGTCGACTTGCTCATAAAGAGTGTGTGAGTGTGTGTCTAGGTGTGAGTGTGTGTGTGCTGCTTACATTACCCCTCCCGTCCCTCTTCACACACAGTGGTAATGAAGATGTCATGGCTGCTGCTGTGTGGACGTGGTTGATATTCAAATGGGAGAGCCGTCACCTGCCCATGACAGAACTGTCCAATTAGAGGCAGAGGGCAGAGACCAGGGCCAGGCACAGGGCCGCCTACTGTAACCATCACCCACAACAGCACACATGCTCTGACACCGTCTCAGGGTTCACTGTGGACTAACACAATGCTCCACGACCAGCACTAACAGCATAACTGCTTTCCTATGGTGTGTAGAATGTGTGGCTGTTACAGACTGTGGACTATAAATCTGTCTTAGAGCTCAGATACTCTCCCTAGGATGCAGGCATGTGGACATATGGTTGGAACAGAATGGCAGTGGCTGTTAATTCAATGTCTTGAATGCACATATACATTGCCATTATTTTTAATTAGACATCCTATGGTCACTCTGGTGTTGTGCGCCAAGACTAAGCACAATGAATAAAATGCAATGTGGTAAATTTACATAATTCAAATGTGTAGGCCAGGTATTTTGGGGATTTTCAAGTCAACCTAAAAACTAATTTTACCTTTTTTAGTTCCTGTCCCCAGAAATATTAAGTATAATTCATCATATTATATCATTTAAAAGATAAAATTCTCTCAAATGTTCTACCAAAATGTAGTGACATTTGTCAGCCACTAAACCAACTTGAGTTTTGGCTCTGTCACTGAGCACCAGAGGGCAGGAAAAATAATACTAATTTTATGTTTTACCCCCTCCTATCACAGACAGAAAACGCTCAGCTAGCTCAGAGACCCTCCCACCAAAACAGTGGGCTGTGATTTTTCGCTTTACATGTCAGTCAAACGGCCTCTTCCTGACAAGGTAGCTGGTTCTTGGCCACAATATGCAGTGAAAAGCACCAGGCTCTGCCAAAACTTAGAAGCCTGGCTTTCAAAACTGGATGATTCCTGACTTTTGACTTTTAGCACATCTACATCAAGTAAATTCAGTGTATTAGTTTTTCACTT